GAGGGGTTACAATTACATGGGCAAGATAGTCAGTACATTTCTTATCAAGCATTGTAGCCTCCTCCTTTGTTTCCCCTTCCCATCCCTCCCCATCCCCCCCCCCCCCAGCTCCCCACCCAATCCTCCCCCCTTATCCCCCTACCAAAGTTTTGTTTCTTTAATATATTCTTCCCCCATGGTATAACCCCTGTTTTTACTGCATTTGATTCTGGTGCCCTGCATCTTGTTTATACATTTTTCTAATTTGGGGAGGGGAAGGGAAATAACAAAATGCTGAAATAAGAATACAGGATGACCTATTGTAACAATGAGTCACTATGTTGAAAATGAACTTTCCAACTTCCTGGGGAGGGGGAGGGGAGAAGTTGGGGAAATGGGGAGGGAAGGGATGGTAGGGGCAAAACAAAGGAGGAAGTAACAATGCTCCATAGGAAACGTACTCATTCCCTTACTCAGGTATCTGTAACCCCTCAGTACACTATCTTTACAATAAAAATATATACTAAAAAACTGTCTTCCAAATTTCTTTCCCCTTTAAGGCACATGCACTGCCCTAAAGGCAGTGATTTCCTCCTTCAACCCCTCCTTGAAATTGACTTCAGGGTCCCCACTCCAGCAATCATACTTGAAATGCTCAGACATATTTTAAAGCTCCAATGAGAGAGTGTCCTCTTTTTTTTTTCTTCTCATTTTTTAAATTTTTTTTTAATTGCGAAAATACCTTACCCTGATCCCAAAACCAGGCAGGGACTCATCAAAGAAAGAGAACTATAGACCCATTTCTTTGATGAACATTGATGCAAAACTTCTCAACAAAATTTTGGCCAATCGACTTCAACAATTCATCCAAAAAATTATACACCACAATCAAACAGTATTCATTTCTAGTATGCAAAGCTGGTTCAATATACACAAATCAACAACAAGAGCAAGGATAAGAACCACATGGTTATCTCAATAATGCAGAAAAAGCATTTGAGAAGACCCAACACCCCTTTATGATGAAGCCTCTGGAAAAACTAGGAATCCAGGGAACATTCCTCAATAAAGGCTGTATGTGACAAACTTACAGCCAGCATTATACTTAATGGTGAGAGTGTCCTCTTGAATCTAAGGCTCCAGCCACATCATTCAGTTATCCTCAAATATTTCAAACACCTTTGTAAGTTTGTACCTTTGACTATGCTTCTACCACCAGAATGTTCTTTCTTCCCTCTTGTTTGGCTGAACAAAACACAGACCCATCCCTAACATTAACTTCGTGATGGAGTCTTACCTGATTCTCTCCTAGTTTTACAGCCCTTCCCCTTGTGTACTAAGTCCTCCAACCATGGTAAGGTACTCCATGTTGCCTCAAGTTTTTAACCAATTATGAACTAACTGTGTATATGACACTCATCCTATAAGATTATCTTGGAGCTGGAAAACTTTTACCACTTCGTGGCATTATACCTATTGTAATGTGACAGTGTGGAACATTATCCTTTCTTATTTCTTTTTAAAATTTTTATTTTGTATTGTTATTATAAAGATGATATACAGAAGAGTTATAGTTATGTAAGTCAGGAAATGAGTATATTCCTTTTTAGACAATATCACCCTTCCCTCACTCATTCTTGTTTGTGGAGCTGCTACTGTTAAAAAAAATCCCTACTGCACAGTAGGGACATCCAGCCCTCAGATCTTCAAAATTATTTGAAACATGATGGGAAAAATATATAATGCTTATTGTTGGTAGCCTGAGGCCCACTGCCTGTATTGATAATCCATATGACTCTTGAATATTGTTATAAATATCCAAATGGCTCCTGGCAGAAAGAAATATTCCCCACTCCTGGAAAGATAACAATATATTTTTGTGCCGTACATAATACTTTATAATGATAACAAATGACTATA